GAGAGGGGGAGAGAGAGAGAGAGAGGGAGAGAGAGAGAGGAGAGGGGAGGAAAAGAGAGATAGGGAGTGAGAGAGCGCAAAAGAGAGAGAGGGCGAGGCGAGAGAGAGAGAGAGGAAAAGAGAGAATGGGAGAGAGTTATATAGAGTGGAGAGGAGAGTGACAGAGACAGAGACAGAGCGATACCCCTTTTTTCCTGAATCCCAACCAACTTCCCAAACCCATTTTTTGTTCATCTCCAGGTGTTCCAGATGCTGAACACTTTCGGCACGTTCAACCCGTTATAGTCTTGATACACCTTTTAGAATTTGACCTGGAAGGCTAAACAATGATCCGCAGATGCAATTTAGGGTCTGGTCATCGGTACGGCCAAAAGTTGAGATTTCTAGATGAGTTCGTGGGGTTTTGGTATTGGCACGATTTAAGGGGAAGGAAAGAGAGAGAGAGAGACGAGAGAGAGAGAGTACAAGATCCTTTAAAACATCAATCCCCGCCCTTTTCTAGTACACCCGCTTTTCGTCAGGTACAGACAGACAGTTACTCTCGACCGCTGCAGCACTAATGCAAAGATACACTAGAGAGCGACAGAGAGAGAGAGAGAGAGAGAGAGAGAGAGAGAGAGGACAACGCTACTGTCTTTTCCCTTTCCCCCAAAATTGCTTATTCGAGCGCAAAAACGCGTCTGCCCGATGCCTTCGGGATGGTGCGGCAAGTAAAATCCGCCATTGTTCGTTTGAAGAGAGAGAGAGAGAGAGAGAGAGAGAGAGAGAGAGAGAGAGTAAGGGAAATTACCGTGCCCCTCGAGCGCCTTTTAAGCCTGGCGCTCCATTGAAAAGCAACAGTTTCTCCCCAATTTTTGAGGTTTCTCCGATTTTCCACAAAAATTTCTGCAAGCACTCCCGCCCCGATTTTGCGAGTTGCTTCTTTTCTTCTTTAAAGAGACTAGGAAGCCAACTTCCCACCACCAGAGCCCCATCTCCGGTCAGTTTGAACCAATTTTCCAGTTTTTCACCCGAGCTTCCAGGCGAAACCCCTTTGGAAGCTGCTGGCTTCCAGGGTCCCGGACCAGCGTGTAGTGATTATAGTATCGAAACGGACCCAGTGTTCACCTTCCAGATTGTAAGTTCTCGGTTTCAAGATTAGGTCCGCCCGGCGGGAAAGGGGTAATTTAAAAATGATGGCTTCTCGGTCCAAATCGGTTGGGTTGATTTGCAAGTGGAAATGGCAGCATGGTATTGTAAAGCTTTGTTTTCTCTCGCTCTCTCTCTCTCTCTCTCTCTCTCTCTCTCTCTCTCTCTCTCTCTAGCTCGCTCGTCTCGCTGAAAAATCCCTGGACTCAGTAAATTTGAACCTTGCTCAAATACTTCGCTAGCGAGAGAACGAGAGAACTGAGAGAGCAAATGGTGGGGAGAAAGCGAGGAAGAGAGAGGGCAGCGAGAGAGTGAGAGAGAGAGAGAGAGAGACGAGAGAGAGAGGGAAACTGGAGAGCCAGCCCTGAGCAAAGTTTCAAGCCCCTTTAACTCGAATTTTTTAAATTTTTTTCTTCTTTTCCCTCTCTCTCCTCTCTCTCACTCTCTCTCTTGTATGTAGATTGAATCAAGGCCTTCGCCAAACGGAGCAGAAATCCTATTAACCCCCAGAGGGCATTTGGAGAAGCAATGAAAAAGTCTAAGGCAGGGTTGACGGTACTCGCCATTTCGGCCCGAGGGCTCAATGCGAGGAGAGGCGAGGGGGAGAACCAGTTGCCTTAGGAGTCGAAAAGCAGACACGAAAAAGAGTGAGACTCGCCCGGGAGGAGCCCCAGATCGGCTTAAGCCCCCGGCGTGCCAGATGGAACCCAACTGCTTCACCTTCCACTTTGCATATTTATGATAAGTATTGGTTTTTAAGAGGGATTTGAGTCTCAATGTTAAGTAGTTTAAACCTAGGCTTAGGCTAAGGCTTAGTGTCTCCTTTCTTTGACTTAAGTTTAGGTTTAGGCTTAGACTTAAGCTTATGCTTGGCTTGGGCTTAGGCTTAGGCTTTCTTAGGCCTCGTCGTCTTGCTAGTCAAAACTATGACTCTGGCCTCTTTAAAGTATCTTTACCCTTTTTCCTAGCCTCCTCCTTGTACAGTCTAGTCGAAGATTAGCATCTACGGCTCTGCCTCCAACCCTAGGAGAGCACCCCGTACTTGTGCGGAAAAACGCTGTATTGTACGCGGGCGAGAGAGAGAGAGAGAGAGAGAGAGAGAAAGAGAGAAAGAGAGAAATGATTAGATGCCAGCAACGAACCCTCGTCAATTCTAATTTTTTCCTTATTTTCTCAGAAATTGATGCTTTATGAAATTACGTAGCTGAACTGCTTGATGATAACCTGATAGGATCAAGTTCGTCGTTCAGACTTTTTGATAATAGGACGGATTCAAAAAAAAAAGAGTTTCGGATAAAATAGGTTAGACGGAGTATCTATTTATGGACAAAATAAGCTTGCTGAACTGCTTGAAAATGATGGGCCTGGCGGT